GGACTATAACTGAATCCTGTTGCACATGTGGTGGCCAGACCTCAGAAAATAAAATTTGTTGTACTTAATAAAAATTCAGAAGATAATATGATGAAAAGTAAACCTTTTTACCCCTGACTCCCACCTAATGGTGTCCTCCTCAGAGAGAATCACTGTTTGAGGCTTTTGTCCTAGAGATCTCTGTGTATGTAAATACTTATTTCAAAGTATGTATAAACACAGATAAAGAAAGGCAATAAAAATCCCCTAATCATCTCTAAGCCCACTGCCAGGCATAACAACAGTTAAGGCTCTGAGTCTTATCCTTTTAGAGCTGGGGTGGGGAACCTTTTTCCTGCCAAGGGTAGTTTGAACATTTATAACATCATTCCTGGGCCATACAAAATTATCAGCTTAAAAGTCAGCTGTGAAAAAAGCTCCAATATTTATCAAATTTCCAGCCCGCCTGCGGTTGCCTTGGCAGGGCCAGACCAAATGATTTTGGCCCGCGGGCCGGATGTTCTCCACCTGTTTTAGAGCTCTTTAAAATGCATGTGTGCATGTATGCTCTCTTGCACTTACTTTTTTTAAATCACCCAAGTAATACATGAATACATTCCTGTTATTAAAAACAAATTCAAGTAATACATATTAAGCCAAAGTTTTTCTTCACCACTGTCTCCAATTATGTTGTTTTCCATTGCTAATAACCATAGTTATTTGCTTGTTATGATTCTTTGAACATTATACATGTGTTGACATATATTGATGTGTTTTTCATAAGTGAGGTCCCACTGTTTGTATGATAGTTGAAAAAGCAATATCTTGTTATTTTAATGTCGTCTCCAGTATTAACAGGTTAACACTCCCAAATGCTTAGAGAACGTTAATACTACCTTTTCTGTGAATAGTCTGAACTCTACATGACATTTGTTAAACTGCTTTTGTTGCCTTCTATAATAGGAAATATTCCTTGTCCATGTTGTTTTAAAATGGTTATTAACATTGAATGGATGTGTCATAGTTTATATAATTTATATTTTATCATTGTTATGGCCCTATAATTGATGCAATGGTTGGTAAAGATCTTAAATTTGTACGATCCTTTCTGAGAGGCATTTTGGTAAGATTAATACAATTATAATTAAGTAAAGCTTTAGATATTTATTTACTATCATTGATAAGATTCACATTTACTTATTTAACCATTTACTGCAGGTATATAGTTATGGACTCAGAACTATTAACAGCTAAAGTTTCCTGTGGTAACTGTTGGTCGCCTTGACTAGACTTAAAATGTTCCTAAATCTCTAATTGTACATAAGTTATTTGTACTTATGCACATGTCTGATTCTGCCTATTACTACAGAATCTATTTGTTGTCTCTTTTTTAGTTTTCCCTAGGTAAATCTTATAGGCAGCTAATGCCTAGACAAAAAAGTATGTTAGGACAGCAGAAAAAGATCATTGTGGTTTTAAGTAGAGAGCATCAAGGAGAAAAGATTTAAAACTTGGGCTGAGCTGTGAAGGTGGGAGAAATTTAGAAAAGATTAAGGGATTATTCCAAATAAGGGGAAAAGAAAGAGGAAAGATAAGCAGTGTGTTTGGGGAGTGGATAGATTGAATGGATCAAAGTGTTCAAGATGGAAAATTGTAAAAAAAAAGTTGGAAAGTTACTTTGAGCCAACACATACCATCTTATTAATGCCATAATAAGGGTTTTGGATTTATCTTATAATAGGTAGGATGCTCCTGAAGCATTTTGAGCAGGGGAATGATATGAAGTGGTATTTTAGGAATATCAGTTAGTTGATATTATGTAGGATAAACTGAGGATAAGGGAGGAGAGGAGGAGCTTATTAAGACATTCATTATGTTTAAGTGAAAAACAATAGCATTACAGCCAAGGCAGAATGGGAAAAAGCTGTGGGGGTGAACAATCATATGAACAGAACTTTTTGGAAGGACAGAGAAGAAATAATCATGAGGGATTTAAAAAATCAGCATTATTGAAATATAATTAAATACAGCTTAACCATTTTAAGTGTACAGTTTGATGAGTTTTGACAGATGCACACAGTTCTGTCACCACTACCACAATCATGATATAGAAGAATTTCATCACCCTAGAAAGTTCCCTTTTATTTCTTTACAGATAACCCTCTCCCTCCAGCCCTGACCTCTGATCTACTTCCTGTCACTGTAGGTTTTTGGAACTTTGTTGCCTTTTCTAGAGTTTCCTGTATATGGAATCTTAGACTCTTATGCTCCTTTCACTTGGCATAATGCTTTTGAAATTCATCCATGTGTTGCATGTATCAGTAGTTCCTTCCTCTTTGTTGGGTAATAATCCAGATCCATTCATCAGATGATGGGCATTGACCTGTCTTCAGTTTTTGGTTGCTATGAATATAGCTGCACTAGGTACATATATACAGTGGAATGTTACTTGACAGTAAAAAAAGAAAAAGGAAAGATATCATTTCTGACAACATAGTTGGACCTGGAGGGTATCATGCTATGTGAAATAAGTCAGAGAAAGACAGATACCATATGATTTCACTTATATGTTGAGCCAAGAGAACAGAATAAAGGAACTAACACCCAGGAACAGATTCCATGTGACTGTATTGGCGCCTGTACTAAGTACACCTATCCACTGTTGGCGCCAATACAGCCAGCTATGTGGGAGAGTTTCACTTCCTCCCCTGGTTAACACTTGATATCACCAGCCTTTTTAATTTTAACAAATAATAAAGTTTTAAGGCAGAAAAATAGAATGAATAAAATGAGAAAGTCAGGTGGGAGAAGGTAATTTGTAAATGAGTAACTGTGGGGACGGCTTGCAGTTTGGGTATTTCTTGAGAAGGATTGTCCTTGTTCTGAGATTATGCCTTTAAGTGGCCTCATTTAGCAAAATAAAATGGTGGTATAGTAATAGTGTTGCTTTGTCCACTGAAAAGCATACAGTGGATTCATAGTTTATAGGGATTAAGTTTCAACATCAGAATGTAATACAAACATAGCAACTAGTCAGAATTACCTTTGCAAAGTACTTAGAAAGGAATGGCACCATGTTGGCAACACCTCTCAGTAAGTCCAGCATAGCCATTTTCTCTATTGAACACTGGGAAAGATCACTGTTTCTTTGCATGGAAATAAGGTGAAACAATTTGCTTTTATTTAAGGGCCATGCTACACAAAAATTATCCGTCCTTCACTGTTAGAATCCCACTTTGCATTGAGAGAAATGCACTTTAAGAATTGAAACCAAATGAGAAATTTGTATGTTGCATCTCATGTTTCTGTAGGACCTGCTCGGGCTCAGTGGTGGCATGTTGGTAGGCAGAATCCTTAGCACTAATTGTTTTCCCCTCTCTCAGCACCCTCTCCTTCACACCCCACTCCTGCAACAAAATACTTCAGGGGCCGGGGAGGTGTTAGATGTTTAGAAAGTATAGTTAAATTTGAGTGAGCAAATTTGAATATTTTTTAAATACTTGTTTTAGTAGTGCAGTGCCTCAATAATTTTAGGCTTCCTGCTCACTTAAACTACTTGTAACAAGTTTATAGTATATAACTTTTAGAATACATATAATATTTTATACCTGAGATAGAATGAGTTCTTTATACTGCAATCAGCCAGAGTTAAAAGGCTTCATAAAGTGTGACACAGAAAGTGAAATCTACAGTAACGGGTTCTTGTTGTTTTTGTTTTTTTGTTGTTTTACTTAAAAAAAATGTATTTTATTTAGAAAGAATCATAAACTCACAAGAAGCTGCAGATAGTAGTACAGAGAGGTCCCTTATCCCCAAAACCCAGTTTATCCCAGTGGTAATATCTTTTACGTAAGTAGAGTTATCAAAACTAGGATATTGACACTCACACAATACAGTTAACTATGCTACAGACCTTTTCAGATTTCACAAGTTTTTGCATGCACTCATTTTTCCTTTTCTTGTATTTTTTTTATTGTTTTTTAAATATATTTTTATTGATTTCAGAGAGAGGAAGGAAGAGGGAGAGATAGAAACATCAGTGATCAGAGAATAGTTCATAGAGGAAGGGCGAAGAGAGAAACATGGATGTGAGATTGTACATCAATTGGCTGCCTCTTGCGTGCCCCCTACTGGGGATCAAGCCCACAACGCAGGCATGTACCCTGACCGGAAATGCAACCAAGATTTCCTGGTTCATGGGTCAGTGCTCAACCACTGAGCCACGCCGACCAGGTTCATTTTCTTGTATTTCTATGGGTATAATTCTATGACTTTTAAAAATAAGAATAGTTTGGATTTATAGGAAAGTTTCAAAGATAATACAAAACGTTCCTATGTAGTCCTCACCCACTCTTCCCTAGAACATTTTCACATTTGTATAGTTCATTTGTTACCTTTAACAAGCCAACAATGGTGCATTACTATTAATTAAACTTCCCGTTTTCTTCAGATTTTATGAGTTTTCCACTAATGTTCTTTTTTAGCTCCTGGATACCATCCAAGGTACAACATCACACTTAGTCATTGTGTCTCCTGAGGCTCAACTAGATGGTGACCGTTTTTCATATTTTCCTTGTTTTTGATAATCTTGACAGCTTTGAGGAATATTGGTCAGTTATTTATAGAATGTCCCTCAAATTAGTTTGCCTGATGTTTTTCCCATGGGTTAGTTTGTCATGATGCTTTTCTAATTGTTAACCTGTAACTGGGGTTATAGGCTTTTGAGAGGAAGAGCACAAAGGTAAAGTTCCATTTTTATCACATGATATCAAGGGTACATTTGTCAACACGACTTATCACAGGTTATTTGCTATAAGGTTACTTTGGCTCCTCTTTTTCATACTCTAGTCTTTGGGAGGAAGTCCCTAAGCACAACTTATATTCAAGGTGTTGGGGAACTTAAATTCAACCTCCTGGAAGGAAGATTATCTACAGAAATTGAGATTCTCCCAACAAGTATTTTTTGACTTTATGGAAATAGCATGAGTACTGAATCAGTCTAACATATTTGTTCTTTACAGGGTGGGAAACCACGTAAACACCGGAAGGATCGGCTACAAGATTTAATTGATATAGGCTTTGGCTATGATGAGACAGATCCATTTATTGATAACTCAGAGGCTGTGAGTAATGTATCTTTAATATAGCAGTAATTCTTTGTTTTTCTGGGATAGTAGAAGTCAAGGGTAAAATAAAGTAAGTAAAATAGTTCAGTGAATGTTTTTGCCAACTAATCCCCTCTTTATGTACATCTAAATCGTTTCTAGTTTTATGCGCTTAGAAATAGTTGAGCATCTGTTTACAACTTATCTTTGTGTATATAAGATAATTACAAAGTGCAAATATATGTGTAGGATGAATTTCTAGCAGTGGAATTTATTGTTCAAAATGTATTTACATCTTGAATTTTTAATAATATTGCCAAACTTGGGCCAGGTGTATTTTGAAATGACTTCCATGTAAGAATCTTGTTACCTTGAAGATTGAAGCTACTGGGTTAAAGTTAATCTGGCAGACATCTTTAAAATGTACTTAATTTTTTTATTTCTAAATATATTTTTACTGAATTCAGAGAGGGGAAGGGAGAGAGAGATAGAAACATCAATGATCAAAGAGAGTCATTGACCAGCTGCCTCCTGCATGACCCCTACCGGGGATGGAGCCCACAACCCCGGGCATGTGCCCTGACCGGGAATCAAATTGTGATCTCCTGGATTGCAGGTTGATGCTCAACTGCTGAGCCACGCCGGCTGGACTAAAATGTACTTATTTTTTTTATTGCTGCCAAGGCTTACTACAGTGGAGGTACTTAAGTACCAGCCTTTATCACCAGCTTGTTTTGGTCAGGCCCTATGGCTTTTTCCCTGGAATCTTCTGTCTCTTGTTAAAGGAAGAGGAATTTAGGTGAGCATTTAAGGCCTTTGGCAGTCCGTTGATGCCATAGCAAATGAAGCAGGGTATGCCCTGTTTTGGGTAGATAAGGTACATGTTCTTACATTCTTCTTAGTGTACCAGAGTAGTCTAAACGCTGGGATTATGTTGTTCTATATTCTCTTCAGTGGGCGGTGGTTACATAGGATATATAAAAAGTGACACTGAGGTGATTATTTTACTACCCAGAAATAATTATATGTCTTTTTCCTGTTATGACAGTGCTCAGTTGCATAGATGATGACAAGGCATATGGTGGTGGGAGAGTGGTAGGAAGGACTTCCAGCATGAGGCACACTGGATACCCTGTCATACTTCTGAGTTACTTTGGTGTCCCGACATTTTGTAGGAGTAAAATACTGACAGTACCCTTTACAGTAGAGGTTGTCAACGAGTAGTTAGGTAATGGCGTATTTTCAAGTCTTGACCTTGATTTGGAACTCAAGTCAAAAGTCCTAGATTCCAGACCCTACTCGATTTCTAATTCACCAGAGACCAGGAGCAAGTCTTTTAGCATCATCCACTTTACTCTGCTATGATTGGCTTGCCCAGCAGAATTACTCTGAGACTCAAATAAGATAATTATATGCTGAAAAGCATAAAGCATGTATAAAGCATTAGTATTAAAGTTAACATTATATGTAAAGTAGATTTTGAATTCTAAGTAACTCAAAAAGGAGCTTAGCCATATATAAATGGACATTTCATGTACTGAGGCTTATATAAATAGCATTTTTAAAAATTAATAAACTTAATTTAAGAACAGTTTTAGGTTCACAGCAAAATTGAGCAGACAGTACAGAGATATCTTATATACTCCCTGTCCCTACACATGCACAGCCTTCCCCATTATCAACATTCCCCCACCAAAGTGGGACATTGGTTGCAACTGATGAACCTACACCATCACCCAAAGTCCATAATTTACATTAGGGTTCACTCTTGGTGGTGTACATTCTGTAGGTTTTGCCAAATGTGTAATGACACGTATCCACCAGTACCGTACCATACAGAATAGTTTCACTATCCTAAAAAAACTCTGCCTTGCCTATTTGTGCCTCCCTAATCCAGTAATTTTTTTACTGTCTCCTTAGTTTTGCCTTTCATAAATAGCATTTTAAATACCTTCTTTTGTAGTATTCAGAATTTTCCGATAAAGTGTTTTTCAAACTGACTTTTGTAGTCCATAATTGGGTTATATATCGATTTAGAAAGTGGCCAGCATTTTTTGAAATAGGACAGAATAGGAGCTGTCATAGTAAACCACTGATAGGCTGTGTGACTTTGGTTATGTGTACGTGCACTGGATTTTGATGTGTAATGTATTTTCCACCTGGTTGGGGTAAAGAAAATTTGAAAGCCACTGCTTTAATAAATAAGGATAAATTTTGTAGGTGTAAGTTATATAAAAGTTGTATAATTAGTTACATTTTAGGACAAGGTACATCACTGTTTTATAAGAGGAAATTGAACATAAAATTAAGCTTGTTCATTTACTTGCAAAATAATTGTGCATTGTTGTCTTTAATAGATTATTTGGTTCTTTTTTTGAGATAATTCAGACATAAAACAGTTGTGATTCAACCAAATGATTCTCCTCTTTTCATTGATTATTTTGCCAGTAAGCTTCTACTGTTCTTACATTATTTGATAGTGAAAATAATCTGGTTATAATTACTTTTCAAAATCCTGTAATTGTATAAACACCTGAAAATAAATGATTTTGAAGATATTTTAAGTCTCACAGTTAAATGCTGCCAAATTTCTAAAAGACTGAAAGAAAATATGTTATTAATACAGGCAGGAGTAACACTTGTGTTTAGGTTCTCTTTTAAATTTCACTAGAACGTTCTCCTGTTTTATAATACCAATATATTGATGATAAGTGATTTGCTCTGGGTTACGATAGCTAGTCATTGGCAAAGGATTTAAAGCCAAGCCTTCTGATTCAGTGTTCATTGGCTCTTAACACATTCTACCTGAAAGAATAAATTGCATTTGCACAGAGAGTTTGTTCTGCTGAAGAGTGCTCAGCAGGACACTGCAGAACACACATGTGGAGCACATCCACTTGTCCCATAACCTGGTAATGAAGGTGTTGCCGACCTGAGAAGCTGCTTGGTGTAGTGGGTAGGTGGGGAGTGAGCCAGTGACTCTGCTATAAAACTAGTAAAATTACTCTGGCAAGGTTCTTGACTGCTCTGAATCTAGTTTTCATTTATAAAATGGAAGATATTTGCCTCCCTTGCCTCACAAGGGTGTCAGGAAGACCAAGTGAAATAGTGTATATATGAAGAAGCATTGAACATTATAAAGCAGTGTACGGGTATATGTAAGCAGAAAGTGCAGGTCTATTTATCTTACCACAATTATACATTTTCAGGATAATTACAAAAGAAAAGTCTTTTCACTTTTAATCCTTTACTCCTCCCATTACTCCATTACTCATAGACAGTACTGGACCCCTTCTATAGGTCTTAGCTGTAGATTTAAAAAAAAATTTTGTTTTTAAAGGAACGCCATCAGGATTGCAAGGCCCATTTAAAAAAAAAAAAGTTTTTATTGATTTCAGAGAGAGGAAGGGAAAGGGAGAAAGAGATAGAAATGTCAATGATGAGAGAGTCATTGATCGGCTGCCTCCTGCACGCCCCTGACTGGGAATTGAGCCCGCAACCCGGGCATGTGGCCTGACCGGGAATTGAACCGGGATCTCCTAGATCCTACGTCGATGCTCAACTGCTGAGCTATGCCTAGCCGGGCTTGGGATTTCGTTTTAAGTTGGTAATTTTTTGTAATCTTGTCATGAATAAAATTGCCTACTGATATGGTAGGAAATGAAATTTATCTGTCTGGACTTTTAGTCATGTGTTTTAACTTGTTTCACTTTCTCATCAGAACCGTTGTCATTAAGAATAGCAGTAGTACCCAGCTGGGCATGTCTCAGCCATTGAGTATCGACCTAGGATCCAGGAGATCACCGTTCGATTCCCGGTCAGGGCATATGCCCAGATTGCGGGTTCGATATGCAGTCGGGCGTGCAGGAGGCAGCCGATCAATGGTGACTCTCTCATCATTGATGTTTCTGTCTCCCTCCCTTCCTCTCTCTTCCTCTCTCTGAAATCAATAAAGACATATCTAAAATACATATTTATCCTTTATAAAAAAGAATAGTAGTGATCCTTAAATTTTTTCTCAGCAGATGATATATTTAGAATTTGTTCCATTATTTAGAAGTGCCTTTCTAATAAGTGCTGAATGATTAGAGCTTATTTTTATTCTAGATATTAACTTTTTCTAAATTTATCCCACAAACATTCTCAGTGCTGTCAGTTTTGCAGTTAGGATTTAAGGAAGATGCTGACATGGTGATTGGATTTCTTTGACATATTTATAAAATTAAAGATAATAGTATGTATCTGAAACTTTTTCTTTAGTATGATGAATTAGTTCCCGCTTCTCTAACAACAAAATATGGAGGCTTTTATATCAACACTGGCACCCTACAGTTTCGCCAAGCTTCAGATACTGAAGAAGAAGATACTGCAGACAACCAGAAGCACAAACCACCCAAAGTGAGTTTACTTAAAATTGCAACAGTAATGAGAGCATTCAATTAATAGGATATACTCTTTGAATTTTACTTGTGTTTTACACTATGTCTATAAGGAAAAGTAAAGTGTTAAACATTGTTTAATGAATCTATGGTTAATTACATGCTTTAAAGTAAAATTATATAGATATGGGGAAGTGATACTTATATCAGAATTACATTTTTAAAATTTCTCCATATGTTATCTAATCTACTGTTTCTGGGATACAATTACATTTTCAAGGTATGTTAAAACGTGGTTTGGAAATGACTGTTAAGCTCAGCTGGTGCAGCTCAGTGGTTGAGTGTCAACCCATGTATCAGGAGATCACGGTTCGATTCCCAGTCAGGGCACATGCCCAGGTTACGGAGGCATGCAGGAGGCAGCTGAACAGTGACTCTCACTGTTGATGTTTCTATATCTCTCTCGCTTCCTCTCTCTGAAATCAATAAAAAGATATTTAAAAAAAGAAAGAAATCACTATTAATTGCCATTACTTTTCCTAAGATATAATTTGTAAAGCAGATTCTTTAGAATATATATATATTGTATTTGGTAAATGGAGAGAGTGTCCTTAGATAAGTTTTCTTTGAAGTGTGGTCCAAAAATGTACCAGAATCATCAAAATGTTTTTTAAAAATACAGATGATAAGGCCCTGCCCCAGATAACAATCCAAACCGGGGTGGGAGTGCTCGTGGACCCCAAGAATCTGCATTTTTTAACAAGCACTTCTAATGCAGACTGAAATTTGAGAAAAAACACTGCCCTGGGTGCTGGATTGCTAGTATCAGAGAAAAGCATTGATACTTAGATAAGTGATATATTGTTTTTATCATTTTGCAGATTCCCAAAATAAAAGAGGATGATATTGAGATAAAGAAGCGGAAGCGGAAAGAGGAAGGGGAAAAGGAGAAGAAGCCAAGGAAAAAAGTACCTAAACAACTGGGGTATGTGAAATTAAACATAAGAGAACCAGTGTCACAGTGTGACTAGTTCTCTTTTAGAAAGATATGTTTAGTAGTAAATAACATAGCTTAGTTGGGTCTAATTTAATAACACTATTTATGAATATCATTCACCTGTTAACTTATAGTTTGATAATATTGTACTTAGTAGAAAGTAGAAGGCTTTGTCATTTTAGAGGCTCACAGTATATTAGATCAGATTTAGAAATTGGTTCATTAAGTATTCTGCTTATTATAACTTTTTACCAATAAGAACCAATTTGAAAAGATGGTGTAAATATTGAACAAATTATTTTAATCTTTTTTTATGAAAACTAAACTTAGATTCCTTGGGATTGAGTATTGGCAGTAGTCTGTGTGTAAACGATTTATGGTTGTTTCAGTATAAAAAAAGTATTTCATTTAGCTATCATTAACAGTTGTGATTTTAACTAATGATATTACCTCTAAAAACCAAGTAGAATTTCTCAGAAACCTTAAGCCATAAGAATAAAATGTTTGTACCATGTAGTCATAAAATTGCCAATTGCCCGTACCTCTCTATGGCTTTTTTAAAAACATTAAGGTACAGAAACTTGTAAGAGGCTGGATATTTCTTCTCTCCTTACCAGGGGAGGTGCATCTGAATTTTGCTCTAGTAATATCCAAAAATTTGATGTGGGGAGGGGTGGTATTTATCTCCTCCTGAGTATGAGATTATTGTGACACTTGAGTCATTAAGAAGTTGGTAAGAAAAACATTTCATATATGTATATATATCTTCCCTTGCTGGTGTGGCTCAGTTGGTTGGTCATCAGCCTATGCACAGAGAGGTTGCTGGTTTGATTCCCCATCAGGGCACGTGCCTGGGTTGTGGGCTTGATCACCAGTTGGGGGCAAGCAGGGGGCAGCCAATCAATGTACACCCTCACATTGATGGTTCTCTCTTCTCTCTTCCTCTTTCTCTAAAAAATCAATAAACTATCCTTAAAAACAACAACAAAAAACCATATATATAACTAACAGTTATTTTAAATTTTCATTATTTACAAGTTAGCTTGTTTGGGAATTAAAAACTATATACAATACCTTTTGTTGAACTTATCATTTTCTCATATTTATAGCCTATTCATTCAGCAAATATTTGTTAAGTACCTATTGTATGACAGGCACTGTTCTTGTGGGTGGATATAGCAGTAAATGAAACGTGGTACTAGTACCTTCAAGGTACTAGTCTTTCAGGTTCCTTAGTGCACATGGAAGCCTATAAGCCTTAGAATTTAGAAAAGATTTCTTATCTGATTGCCTCACACGGCTGTTCCTGGAGAGGAAAGTGAAAAATAAGCAGAGGGTAGTGGCAAATGGAATAGGGACTAGACAGACAGCATGATGATGGATGAAGGCTCACAGGTTGACACAGAGGATGTCCTGTTTCTTCGGAAGCTCGTAGCACAATCCACCTGGTTATAAGTTTGAAGTTGTACTATGTGGGCTTCTCTGGTTGTCAGGCAACTCTGTTTTCAGCAAAGTACATTACTTGGTTAATTCTTTAGGTGACTAGTTTATAAATGTGCTAAAGAAAGAACATCCCAAAAAGAGTAGTAAGTTAAACTTGGTGTACTTCAGTAACCCCGAGCTCCCTTCATTTTCTCCTTGTCCACTTTATTCCTTTCACTTTCTTTACTCAAATGTCCATTTATTTATTTAAGTGACAATCTCGATAATGATGAAAATGCTATTGTAAAAGTATAATAAGAAACTTGCTCTCCAGTCTGACAAATGATAATCTGCGCCGGCTTATTTACACAGAGCTTTAATCTTTAAAATCATATGTAGCCTGACTGATTACTTTTTTCTTCACAGAGTTGTGGCTCTAAATTCACACAAGTCTGAAAAAAAGAAGAAACGTTATAAAGATTCTCTTTCTCTAGCTGCCATGCTACGAAAATTTCAGAAAGAGAAGGATGCATTAGAGAAGGAGTCTAACCCCAAAGTCCCAGTGAACTTAATGACCCCCTCTCTGAGTAAAGCCCCTTCTGCTGCTGTGGCATTGGGAAATGATGTCTCGGACTTAACCATGAACAATGCTGACCCGGACCTCCCCATCTTCGTTAGCACAAATGAACACGAACTGTTTCAAGAAGCTGAAAGTGCCCTAAAGATACTAGATGATATTGACTTTGACAGATTACTGGATGCTACTTCTGATGGTAGCCCTCTCTCTGAGTCAGGGGGAGAAAATGGAAACACCACCCAACCAACCTATGCCTCTCAGGTTATGCCCAAGGTGGTACCTACACTCCCAGAGGGTTTACCTGTCCTTCTTGAAAAACGTATTGAAGACCTCCGTCTAGTAAGTGGACTAATTCTCTTGCTTTTCTTTTATTTGCTGCACAAATATAACAGTAAATGTATTTTTAAGACAAAAATAATTGACAATTCTAATACCTATATAAACAACATATAATTTTCCTTTAGTCTTTGGCTATGTGCATAGGACTTTGGTTTTATTTATTTATTATATTTGTATATTTAAGTGTAGTTGGCATACAATATTATGTTTCAGGTCTATAATATAGTGACTTGACATATACCTTACGATGTGATCATATTAAACTAAGTCTAGTAATCATCTGTCACTGTGCAAAGTTATAATAGTCAACTTCACCTTTTCCACCTATCTCCCTTTCTCCCTCTGCAACTCTCAGTTTGATCTCTATTTCTGTGAGTCTGGGTTTTTTGTTTTGTTCATTCGTTTTGTTTTTTATATTCTCCTTATAAATGAAATCATATGATGTTTGACTTTGACTTATTTCCCTTAGAGGAATAACCTCTAGGTTCATCCATTTTGTCAAAAATGATTTGAAAGAGAGAGAGAAGCAGAGAGAGAAACATCGATTTGTTGTTCCACTTATTCATGCATCATTGGTTAACTCTTGAATGTGCCCTGACCGGGAATCAAACCTGCAACCTTGGCATATGGGGACGACGCTCTAACCAACTGAGCTACCCAGCCAGGGCAAACAGGAACTACATTCTTTTTCTTTTTCTTTTTTAAATATGTATTTATTGATTTCAGAGAGAGAAAGGCAGCAGAGGGAGAGAGAGAGATGGAAACATCATTGATGAGTCATTGATTGACTGCCTCCCACACGCCCCCTACTAGGGATTGAGCCTGCAACCCAAGCGTGTGCCCTGACTGGGAATCAAACTGCGATCTCTGGGATCCTAGGTTGATGCTCAACCGCTGAGCAACGCTGGCCAGGCAGGAACTACATTCTTAATCCAATAGAAAAGTTCTAAAAACAGCACTAAAGATGTCTAGACAAATACAGACAAGTTTTCCTGTTTACTGAATTTGTCCCATCATGTGCCATATTGGTTAACATTGGGAAAATTAACCATATAAGCAAAGAGAGAGTGTAATCCACTGTTTTGTTAATCAAAAAGTTTTTTTATTTAATCTTCTCAACTACTGCAAGTGTGAAGTATAAGTATTGTTTCCTTTTTGTGGTTAAGAAAATTAAGTTTTAGGTTAAATAGCTTGGTCAAGAGTTACTAGTAAGTGGTAGAGCCAGAACTTAAAAAACGGGTTCACCAGACCCCAAAGTGTATCCTTTTTGCTATTCCCATGTTACCCCGTTCCTAAAATCTTTCTAGGTTTTAAAAACAGTACTAGTGATGTGATCCAGGTTTTTCAACATGTAATTCATAATAATTGATATTGCTTATTTAGCAAATGCCTGTACTGTGTATTGAGTGCAATGTCGCTGTGTCCCACATTCACAGGGCACTATTTACCATTCAGAAGTCTGTACCCTGACCTACTGTATAGTCTAATCCTCCAACATTCATGTGAGGGTAGGTAGTATTCTAAGGCTCAGAGGTTAAGTGATTTCCCCATGGCCACATAATTTTTAAGTGGCTGATACATACTTCAAAGTGAAGATTTAAAGGCAGGACCATCAAGCCCCATAGTTTGCACTCCCTCTGCTGTGTTATATGCAGTTCATTCTCATTTTATAAACAGAATTGCTTAGTAATGAGTGTGTTTCAATCTTGTAAAGCTCTGTCATATTTCAAATACCAAAAACTGTCATTTTACTCTGTAGTAGTCATGCCGGAATTAATACAGGGGCTTCCTAATCCCTTAGGAAATTATCAGTAAGAAGATTAATTTCATTTACTGATGTCTATGAACTCTCCATATTTTTCCTTGAAATATGAGATGGTGTTTTTTCTTCAGGAGATAAGAATTCATCCTGGTGTCTGTCTGACAAGGAGTTCGTTCTTGTTGCTCTTCTCTCACTTTAACATTCTTCCAGTCATCAACCTCTTGACTTTTTTGTTTCTCTTTCTTGAAGTTTAGTTTTCATTCTGGCTTTCTTCCTGTGTTTCTGCTCCCTACACATACCAGACTTCATCCTTTCTAAGAAGTGCTGAGGCACATCTCAGAAATTTTCTTCTTTCCTGCATTTAAAATTGTCAGATAACTTGGAAGACTGAGAGTCAGCATGTGGCTTGCTCAGATTACTGGATTAGGCTTGATGTTTTACATCTAGTGGAAGTCAAGATAAACTGTCCTTAGTGATTTCCCCAGTAAAATTTGCTGATGATTGAGTGTCTTGGTTGGATACTTTTTGTTTCTGGTCAGCTGGTTAAGGTGACAAACATAATGATGCAAATATTATCCTTAAGCTCATTGATTTAATTTTTGCTTATAATACCTTGGTAATGGTCTTGGCTAATGTTTTTATTGTTAGTGTGTAATTAGGTCGAATCCAGGGTGACAGTGTTGCACAGTTGAAATCAGAAAGCGTCTGGTCTGAGTCCTGGATCTATCACTTACTAGCAGTGTGATTTAGGGGCATATCATGTAGTCCGTTTAAGATTTAGTTCCCTTGTTTGTAAATTGAGGGTACAATACCAGTGTCACCAGCTGTTATGAGTATTTAACATGGTAATGGATAGAATATGACACATTGTAGACAATAATACCTATAGAAAGTGAGATATCTGCTTTCTTTTATCTTGGATAAAATATACAAGACACCCAAAACACTAAAAAATCTTGTATGAAAATTTTGTGAATTTAGGAAGATTGAGAAAAATTAAATACAGACATAATGGGAAAGAATGCTATGTATGCTAAATTGTTTCAGCACTCTTTAATTGCCTTGTTAAGCCAGGTTCTAAATTGAGTATGGAGGACATGAAGTGAAGAAAATTATAGCCCCACCCTCAAAGAGCTTATTCTTTAGAAAATAAATATAGAAGAAATAACGTGCTTATTAAGGGTTATATTGTCAATCTTGTTTCTCTAGGCTGCCAAACATTTTGATGAAGAAGGAAGGAAAAAATTCTTTACACAGGATATGAATAATATTCTTCTGGAGTAAGTAATTTTCTTTGTTGATTAAAAAACCTTAAAAGTTATTTAAACCTTAAGAATTTATTTAATATTATTATTTTTAATCCTTACCCAAGGATATTTTTTCCACTGCTTTTTAGAGAGAGTAGAAGGGAGGGAGGGGGTAGAGAGGAAGAAAATGAGAGAAACATTGATGTGAGAGAGACACAGCGATCGGTTGCCCCAACTGGGATTTGAACCCCAGACCTTTCAGTGCACTGCCTGACACTCCAACCACTGAGTCACATGGGCCAGGGCAAGAACTTATTTAAAAATATAATAAGTCTCGCCCTGGCCGGTGTGGCTCAGTTGGTTGGGCACCCTCCCGTGCACCAAAATGTTGCAGGTTGGATTTCTGGTCAGGGTACATACCCAGGTTGCAGGCTTAATCCCTGATCAGGGTGCGTGTAGGAGGCAGCTGATTGATGTTTCTCTCTCACATCAATGTTTCTCTTTCTAACTATCCCTTTCCCTTCCTGTCTCCCTAAAATCAATAAAAATATTAAAAAATAGAGAAATACACAGTAGGGTTTTGAGATACAAGCACTGAGTGCCTGGCTAGTTTCATGCATTAGCTCTTTCCTTTCACCCTCCCAGCCTGTATGATGAACATGTGTTTCTCAGCAAAGTTATTCTTCTGCATATATTGGTTCTCCAGGACCCCTGTGATAATCAGGGCATATTAAAACTGCCAGAGCAGGTGACCACTGTACAGGTTGAATAGAATTCTAGATTTATATGTATTTTTTACCAAATTACATGAAAACATCCTTCTCGGATATATCTGTTTATATTAAATTTGGTATAATTTTCTGTCTTTTTTTTTTCCCCCCCAATATATCTTTATTGATTTCAGAGAGAGGAAAGGAGAGGGAGCCAGAAACATCAGTGATGAGAGAGTCATTGATCAGTTGCCTCCCGCATGCCCCCGACTGGGGATCAAGCACACAACCTGGGCATGTGCCCTGACTGGAAATCGAATCCCGATCGCCTGGATCCTGGGTTGATGCTCAACCTCTGAGCCACGCCCAGCTGGGCTCTGTCTTCTTTTCAGACTTGGGAAAAATACATGTGAACTTTTAAAGCCAAGTAGAAAGTATGGTTTAATGAAGAAATCATGATTGTGGCATAGGATTGAGTCCAGCGTGGAAAAGACAAGTTAGATTGGGAAGGAGAGGGTGAAGGCTGATAAATGACATAGATTATATTTAAAGTGTTGGTAATTTTTAGTCTTAGAGTTTGATACTAATAAAGCTGGAGATTCTAATATTGTGATCTCATAAGATGTGCTTATAAACCTATTGGCTTATAAATTTTGACCATTGGTTACAGAAATTGAGAATATGTCTTACTGCAAGCAGAACTGGGCAAAAAGTGATTCTGGGGAAAGCAGCAAAATTTACTCCTGGTGAAAATAATGTATTGGTGGTTTAGTAGCATCATTTAGAAAGAAATAGAAAATCAGCGTCTGTAATACAGTACTATGCTTTCTCTTTTAAATATATAATGAAGCCCTGCCAGGTGTGGCTAAGTGGTTGAGCGTCCACCTTGGATCCAGGCTATCGGGGTTCGATTCCCGGTCAGGGCACATGCCTGGGTTGTGGGCCAGATCCCCAGTCGGGGGTGTGCAGGAAGCAAACAATCGGTGACTCTCTCATCATTGTTGTTTCTACCTCTCTCTCCCTCTCCTTTCTTCTCTCTGAAATCAATAAAGATATATTAAAAAAATAAATAAATATATAATGACAGTTTTTCAAGGTATGAAGGATAGATTGGGTTGTTGATTCTGATAACTGTTTTAATGAATTGCAGTCTCTCATGCTGGAGTACTTAAGATGTTTTAAGTCCCATGGACTTCATGAAACATAGTACCTAGCATGCTGCTTCCAGTGTGTGAAAGTCTTGTTTCCATCCTTTATTGAAGCCAGGGCTTTTCAGGTTGATTCTGTCTTCCTGAAAGCAGGGTAAATGTTTTCTCTTGGCACCAGCTCCTTTTACCTAGCTCCCTTAAAACCCCAAAGTCAATAAACAGTCTAACCATTACTCAGCAGAGCCGTCCCAGATTCCATAATCAGTGATCTGACTAGCTCTTCTTTTTCTTACTACTTGAAAGTACAAAGTTTGCTAGATCAGGTCCTTTTCCTGAGACTGAGATGGGGTTTTTTTTAATCTTACTCTTTGTAAGAGCACAACTATTTTCCCCTGGGAGAATCAAAAGACCATCCCTGGGAAATGACATCTCAAATAAACAGAATATCAGCATTCCATTAACGGCTTCTCAGTTCATTTCTCTCATGTCTATCCTAAAACAAATCTAGTTTTTGGAGCCCATCTACTTTTTAAACTTAAAAACTTCCTGATTTTCAGAGAGAGAGAGAGAGAGAGACATTTATTTGTTGTTCCATCCATTCATTAACTCATTGGTTGATTCTTGTATGCTCCCTGACCAGGGATCGAACCCGCAACCTTGGCATATTGGGACAAGGCTCCAACCAACTGAGCTACTTGGCCAGGGCCAATCTACTTTTTTTTTTTTTTAATATATTTTCATTGATTTCAGAGAGGAAGGGAGAGGGAGAGGGAGATAGAAACATCAATGATGAGAGAGTCATTCATCAGCTGCCTCCTGCACGCCCCCACTGGAGATCGAGCCCGCAACCCGGGCATGTACCCTGACCAGGAATCGAACCTCGATCTCCTGGATCCTAGGTTGATGCTCAACCACTGAGCCACACCCAGCCGGGCAGGGCCCATCTACTTTTTATTGCATAGAAAGTATGTCTCCGATTCAACAAGCATTAGTGTGCAGTTGAATTTTTTTCTCTTTTAGTCACTTTCTTATGCCTTCTGGCCAGTATTTCCACTTTCCCATCCAACACCCCTTATTTCTCTGGGCCGAGTTGATTTCCTGAGAGCGTATGGTACATGATTACTTAGTGTTCTTATTCCACTGAAGTTATCCAGGTGTATTGGCCCTGCCTCACCATTGCTTTCTTACGCTGGGGAGAAAGATGAGTTTTTTGGAATAGAGTACCCTTTTATTTTTGCCTAATTGAATTTGACCTGTATCAACAAGTATACGACATGCTGGCTTGATTTCATCCCCTATTTCTTCTTTTATTTCAAGCAGATATTGCTAATAAAGTCTTCACATTTTGCCTATTACTCTAATTTAGCCTGACAATTCTGCTCAACAAATGCTCTAGGCAGATACTACCAACCTTGCTGGACACTTGGCGGTGAGACCTGTCTGCCCTCATTGTTAGATGCTCCTTTAAGGAGTTTGTGAGTGAGTAGTGACTTAAATCTCAATATGAATGGACTTCTCAGTTGGCCTGTCTGTTCTTTCTCTTGGAAATAAAGGAAGATTAACAAAGTGAAAAGGTTGATCATAATCCACTGCTTTTCCCTTCTTGAGGGGTTATTTTGCAATTGGAAAAATCCCAAACAGTTTTTCAACCATGTTTCTAACCTGTTCCACACGAAGTATTCTCTAAGTAACACTAGAACCAGCCCATCTGAATAAAATAGTTATTCAGAGATGAGGGACAAACACATATCTTGTCTCATATTAGTTAACACATCAACAAGCTTTTGAATTCTTGCTCTGAGATAAAGAGCTATTTGGGGTTTTGAGTTTGGGTTATTTCTCCCTAAGTCTTCAGTTAGTAGTTTTCTTTTTTTTTTATTGTTAATCTTCATCCAAGGATATTTCTTCCATTGATTTTTAAATAGGGTGGAAGGGAGGGAGGGGGAGAGCGAGAGAAACATCCATGTGAGAAAGACACATTGATTGCCTCCCACATGAACCCTGACAGGGGCCAGGGGTTGAACCTGCAACTCAGGTACATGCCCTTGACTGGGAATTGAACCCATGACCCTTTGGTTCAGTTAGTAGTTTTCAATGGTTGTGTTATTTGGACAGTGGTAGGATATCTGGAATACTTGAGTAAAACTCCCAGGAAATTCCATAGATTCCAGAATTCACTTGGACTTAGAATTTTTTTTTTTTACTAATGTTTTAAATTGATCGAATAAGAAAAATGTTTCATTTTTTTAAAAGAGGGAATTGATGGGGTAGGAAATATATCATACGTCACCTATGGGAAAATGACTATTTCTAGAATCCTGTGAGAAAAGGATAATACCATAGTAGTTACCACTAAATATTCCTCAGTAGGAGAGTCTTGTTTACAAGGATGGCTGTTGCTTCCGCTATGGATTTCCATGTTGCATTTCTTTGAAGCTTCTCCAGAGGCAAAGGAGAGTCTTGTGTAGACAGGGATATAAAAGTGAATTACCAGCCTATTTACTAAACAAAACCCAATATTTATTCTCTAGTGCGTTGATATCAGATGGTCCCAGTATATTTTAATTCATTTAGAACCTGTAGTGATCTCACACTCATTGTTTATTATCAGATATTTGAGGCCCGTTCATAGTAACTTTCATGCATAAAAATCTGCTTTTGGATAGATTTCACTAAAAGAAGGAAAATGAGCTTGGTGGAAAGTGGGAGGCAGGGCTTAAGAAAGTTCACCACTTCAGGAGAACCTTTGTTTCTCTGTGAAATAAATGTGAAAATGCCCAGCCGGGTGTGGCTCTGTGGTTGAGTGTTGACCTAGGATCCAGGCGATCAGGGTTCGATTCCCGGTCAGGGCACATGCCTGGGTTGCAGGCTCGATCAATGACTCTCATCATTGATGTTTCTCTCTCTCTCTCCCTCTCCTTTCCTCTCTCTGAAGTCAATAAAGATATATTAAAAAATAATAATAAAAAAATAAATGTGAAAATACTTGAAAGTCATACTTTTGTTGCCATGTGTTCTTAGTTCACTCCAGATACTTCTTATACTTTAGAAGATTGGAATTCTTAGGGAAAAATATTAAAGTATATGTGTGAGGGATGTGTGCTTAAAATAGTCATACTGTGCTCATCGAAATTTTCTATAGCATCATTAATTTTTTCCCCTTGAAAATACTGTCTTGGAAATGTAACATGAGAAAAGAATCACTTCCTTTGCCTCTTTGCTTGTATGTTGCTACCTGAAAGAAATTCTGTACTATTTATTTGTTGTTGTTTTTGGTCAGCATTGAGTTACAGCTACAGGAATTAGGCCCTGTCATTCGTAGTGGTGTCTACTCACATCTTGAAGCTTTTGTGCCATGCAATAAAGAAACACTGGTAAAACGTCTGAAGAAGTTACATCTCAACGTCCAGGTAAGGGGAGAAACAATGATTTCTACATTGAGGGTTTTATAACCTATAAAGAGGCTGATTTCTTTTGGGGGCTTTTGCATATTAATTGCTTTATAGTTATGTATGTATATTAAAGGCATGTTGATCCCCTGAAAAAATTTACTTTTCAATAATTCATAGGTTTAGGTGAGAAATAATATTTTCTAAGGCATAGATTCTTGGGCTGGTAAATTAACCTGTTTCACAGCTAACACAGCTTTGCCCTCAGCAAATAATCTGACGTATTTTTAACTCAATTTTTGTATTCCTGAAATGGATCTATACAGACATTATGCAGACCAATGGAAAGAATCACAGGGTTGCATGTAAATTTAAAAATTATCTAGTGTAATCATCCACATTTTGCTAGATTCTCGACTACAAAACAATCCCACTAAGTGTGTAAGTTGAATGCTTTCAGTTGTCAGGAACTTATTTCATTATATATCAGACAGTTCTTTCATGTTTTGAGCCAAATCCAAGTGCTTTCTACCCTGTTAGTCCAAATTCTACCTTCCAGTTCATAAATCTAATCATCCATCCACTTCGTTTTCATGTTTTTGAAAACATTTATGCCCCTCTTCATATAAAATGGTTTTCCATACTGTCATTGTTCTGATTACTTTCCCCTAATGATTTGGTTGCCTATATCGTTAAAAAGTATTTATAATTTGTAGGTAATTGAAAATAACTTGAATGCAGTTTAAGACACAATAAAATGACATTTTTCTATGACCAAAGGTATTTCGTGAAATTCAGGGCAAGAATAGAGCCAGGAAGGATGAGAACTGATCATTCGGATTAACTCTCTTTCTACCTGTCTTCCCACAGCTCATTTTTATCCCTTTATATGCATCTGCAGATAAGATTACTTGATTCTCAAGGTTTTACATTACAGAAAAGCCCTGTACAGAGACTGACTCAGTCCTCTCATCCCAATCCAAATTCCTGGGGCAAAAAGTCTGATTATAATGTCTTGGGTCAACCTAAACTTTACTGGTTAGGGTGGGAGTCACACAGGACAACATAGCTATCCAAGGTCTACCATGAAGTGAATGGGAGAATACGTGTGTCCAGGCTCACTGTACTCAGTGTGAACTGACAGACGTGGAATTCTTTACCATAGGTACTATACTTCTGTTAATAAATACTTCCTTTGAATTGAGAAACTATAGTCCTTTCTCAGTTCAAAGCAGATTCATGAACAAGTGAAATTTATCTAAGGTCTCAGATTTTGGTTCTGTGCCTGGCTCTCCAGACATTGACAGTTGGAGGTTACAGCCATGAGTTCAAATGACACAAATGGGTACCAGTATAAAAAGAACTAGAAGTAGGAAAACAACTTTCTGCACATTGTAAAATATTTTCTAAGGGACATTTCAAGTTCAATGTTTGAAGTTATTTATTAACTCTATTGGGTATGGAAGAAAGGCATTACCTTACCCTTGCTTTTGTATATATGGTTTTATCACGTTTGTAAACGTAAACATATTGTTTGGTTTGCATGTTTCTGAGCTTTATATAAATTGAGTCATAGTGTCTGTATTCTTTTGCAGCTTGCTTTTTTACACTCAACATTATGCATTTTAGAGTTACCTGTCTTTACATGTGGTGGAACTCCATACAGTTGTTTTGATTTTGAGAGTACACTTATTAAAGTTGGGGACAGTGAAACAAGGAAGGGCTTAGGATAGAAGAAGCAATAGGAGAGAGCCTGCTTGGAGCTGCTTAAGCTCACTAGAAAGTCAGAGAAAAGGGGGCCTTGGAGACAGGTTCCGGGGGTTAGCCCAGGACAAGCTGCCGCTCCCCATTTCTCCCCTGGTTGCAAGTCTTGTGGGGACCCTTAGAGTTTAGGAGATGAATGCCTGAGAGGGAAGAAAGGCGTGGGTGCTCCCCCAGGAGCAAGAGCATGCCTCCATCCAGTTCTCCTGCTGTGTTCCATTGTATAAATATATCCCAGTTAATTTATTCATTTTACAGTTAGTGGATGTATGGGTTGCTCCCAGGAAGATAATTTGAGCTACGTAATTCTCAAAAAAGTGGTATCTCTTTCTGTCAAATCAGTAAAAAAAGTAAAAGCTCTAGTCGGGTAGCTCAGATGATTAGAGTGTCATCCCAGTACACCAATGTTGCAGGTTCGATCTCCAGTCAGTGCACATACAATGGTCAACGAGTGAATGCATAAATAAGTGGAACAACAAATGGGTTTTTGTCTCTGCCTCTCTCTCTCCTTCCCTATCACCCTCTCTCCCTTTTTCCCTTCCTCTCTCAAATCAATTTAAAAAGTGATCACCCAGGAAATGTGATACTGGATTATTCACATTTTGAAAAGTGGGATTTTATAACAGACACTATCATATTGCAGTAATATTTATTAATTGGTATGCCTGAAAAAGGTAAATGCAATACAATGTTTTAATTTGTAAAATACATCTGCCATAACATAGTAACTGATTCCTGAAAATCCTCTCCTTACCAGAAATCTCGTTTTAAAAATAGTTGTGTCAGTGAAGAAAAGCAAAGTCTTGTAATCTTTATGCATCTGTGACAGTAATAAAAAATGTCTTTTAAATAGTTACATATATTGTACTTGCAAGATGAATATATAAATTTCTTAATTAAAGCTGTCAGATATGAATATACTTGCTTTTCTTTTTTGCCCTGAACCCACATGAATAAGAGTCTTAGTCTCCTTTTTCATCGTGGCCTTAACTCGCATGTTTGCTTGCAACATAAGTCACAATTACTAACAGTAAGTGAGAGAACAGGATGCCCGCATCCCGTTGGTAGTCTTCCAGAGCACGTCCTGTGTTGCACCGTTCCAGAGCTGTATCTCTCCTTGTGGTAGTTCCCCATCATAATGGGGTTGACCAGTAGTGGTCTGCACAATGGAGATTTTGTTCTCTACTTAATTATTTGTATTATAGCTAAAGTGTTCATATAATTTGTCGACCAAACATGAGGCATTTCTAAGAATGTAAAGGAGTACTGTTAATTATGCTGGGGCAACAGGCAAAAACTGAGACTCTCCTTGGAAGCCTGGGAAGTATGGTCATGCTATTTTTATATCCAGTGTGCATTATGAAAAGTCAGTGTTGGAGAGAAATATCTGTATTTAAATATGTAAACATTTCATATCTAAAAACATAAATTTCATCATTTGAGGATCTGCTTGCAAAATAAGTTTTGTAAATAGTTTTGAAAAAACTTTTAGTTTGTTTTTTTTCCCTCAGGATGACCGTTTAAGAGAACCTCTGCAAAAACTGAAACTGGCTGTTAGCAATGTCATGCCTGAACAGCTATTTAAATACCAGGAGGACTGCCAGGCGCGTAGTCAAGCTAAGTGTGCCAAGTATGTACTTAGTCTATTTCGACTGGCTTTTGCATTTGAGAAATATTTTTAGATTTAGGTGTTGGTCTTTAGTGGACACCGACTAGACATCCACATATACCACTAAAATGTTATATGTGGGTCTTTGTACCAGATGTGGATATTAAACCAATAGCTGGGTCTTCATTAAAATACCTAAAACGTATCTATTAAATATATTCTAAATGACACATCGCTTCCCACTCAATGATTTGACGTCAAAGGCGAAAGGCCTGTTGATTTAGTATATGTATGTGGTCAGAGCAAGAGCTGACGCTGGTGAGACATTTCACATATTGACCAACTTGACTGTCTGAGGTAGGACACAAATGTATTCTGAACTAAAAAATAAGTATTCATGCTTTCATATTATAGTTTGAAGACTTTATTTACCAGATAACTTTATAACACACTTGAAATTCAGAGTATCATGTAGAAAGGTCGATTTCCTATTTACCTTGTCGTTGGAGTTAATGTCCAGTTAAGCAATTCAAATTTCTAGGGAGCATATTATAGGCAACGTTGAGTTAAAACTCCGCTTCATAAAATGTTTTTCATTTTTAGGTTGCAAACTGATGAAGAACGAGAAAAAAATGGATCCGAGGAAGATGATGATGAGAAACCAGGGAAACGTGTCATAGGACCAAGAAAGAAATTCCACTGGGATGACACCATTAGGTAAGATGTAACCAAAGCCTTCAATTTCAACTAAGTAGATAACGGAGATAGAAGGTTTCCATAAAAAGAATCTACACTAAGTCGAAGACTAGATTGGGAGCAACCAAGGATAGGTATGTAGGAAAAATTTATTCAAGAGAAGATTGACATGGTCCTAATATTTTTAGAGTTCTATCACTTTTATTTTTATATAATGATTTTATAAGCTCATTGTTTAATTACTGAGTGAGTCATGTACTGGTTTCAGAAGGTGAAGGACTCAGTATAGTTGTGTAGTCAGTCATCTTTCTTACCAGTAATTTGATATCTCAAGGGGTTAGTTGTAGGACTACCCCTTTCAGTCTTTGGTGCCTAGATTAAAGGTATCAAAGGAAACTGTTTCATGTGGGGATTTAGCTGTATGTTAGATATATGTTAGAAATTATTTATTTTCATGTCATCTTCTGAATTCTTCAGATAATACTCTTTAGTATTGCTATCAGGTTTATGTGCTTTTTAAAGAATCTGTTTCAAGCTTAATTTTCTACAATTTTGCAGTCAGATTTATATATAAATATATATTTTTAATCTGTTTAGAACTTTGTTATGTAACCTTGTTGAGATCAAATTGGGATGCTATGAGTTAGAGCCAAATAAAAGCCAGTCTGCTGAGGATTATCTTAAATCCTTTATGGAGACAGAGGTGAAACCATTGTGGCCTAAGGGCTGGATGCAGGCAAGGTAAGAAATATGACATCCTAGATTTTATTTATTTACTTTCTTCTTATTGCTGTTATTATGGATACATATATACACACATACATGACATTCATTTTGCTAAGAACCTAATGTGTTTAAACCTTTCATCTCAAATGATCTCTACTTTGAAAACTTCAAGCACTTAAAAGACTAAACAGTGGTTCACATGGACATAGAGATGTAGAAATATGCGTAAAGGTGGTTTTTTAACTGACTACCTTTTCCTTTTTATACCTGAATTTGCTGGTAGAGAAAAAGGGAGGGAAAATGATTATGAACTTTGGGAGGGGAACTTCTTATGGGTATTGTGACAATAAGGAACTGAATACAAGATTTAGAGTGTGGAAAAAGAGACAGCCTTAGTTTATATTGAAAATAATCAGTATAGAGTAGTATCTCAAAAACTAATTTAAAGTTTAAAGAGTTAAGTAACAGACTTGGCTGTCTCAGCCTATCATCTTAAAGTGTTTCATTTTAAATCAATAGAAAACATCTATTGGTCTGTTAAAGAGTTAAATAGAGTTGCTATAAAACTACCTATAAGATAGATTATTGCTTATACTGTACCATTATAATTTTTACTTGGTAAATAATCAAATAACAGCCTGTTGAAAATCAAATGATTAAAATGGTAAAGTGGTTATCATATTATTTATTTACTATAAAGAATTAATTATCTCCTTTAAATTTTTTCAGAATGCTTTTTAAGGAAAGCCGGAGTGTACATAATCATCTTACTTCTGCCCCGTGAGTAAATTCATACTATTTTTATTCAAATTATGTGCTTTAGTAAATGAAAATATTATTTATTAAATGCTAGTTAAAATCTCACTTAAATGTACATTTAGACAATCTCCATGTTACCACCACCTTTTTATTTTATTTTATTTTTTAAATTTATAAATTTTTTAAACATATCTTTATTTATTTCAGAGAGAGAGATAGAAACATCAGTGATGAGAGAATCATTGATCGGCTGCAGCTCGCAACCCGGGCATGTGCCCTGACCAGGAATCAAACCCCAATCTCCTGGATCCTAGGCCGATGCTCAACTGCTGAGCCACGCCTGGCTGGGGCCACCACCTTTTTAAAAAAGAAATCATTTTTACTGTTGACTATGTAGTCCTCAGAACATACTTATCTATTCAACAGTTCTCAGACTAGTGTTCAAAAACCTGAATTGGTAATGTAACATGTACAGCGAGGCTTTGGTCGTTTCCTTTGTTCTTGGGCCTTCTGCCCTTCAATTCTTTTGCATCCCCTTTTCTTTCCCGCTTAACGACCATCTAAATAGGTAACCCTAAACCGTGTGCTTTCCAAGACAGTTCTGTATACATATCCACACTTCCTTACCTTGCAGTGTTTTATTTCACACAGTTCTCCTCCTTGTCAGGTCCTCCCTTGTGCTCAAAACCAGCTATTTCCTTAGTGATGTGATTACTAAAGAAACGCCTCTTATTCTCCAACAGGCATAGTAAAGAGGGGTGGTTACATTTTTGAGTGGATATTGGTTAATTCAACAATAATTTTATTTCTAAGTACAATTATGGCTAATTCCTTGTAGCATAAGAGTGTAGTATTAAGGGGTTAATAAAGTATAAGAATTAGGATGTCACTGAGAATTTACTGAGCACTCTAGTTCAGTATTCTGCAAGGGGATCTGATTAACTTCCTCTGGGTAACATTACAAAATCTCCCTCCCCTTGGATAAGTTGTAATAGTTGGAATTGTTTTACAGCTGTTAGGAAGGACACTGTTAGTACACAATCAGAGATGTATTGAGTTGGTTGTGGTTTTCAGTTCTTAAGATTCTTATTTGCTGAGTATAAATGGGGAGTAGCTTCATTTTATGTATTATAAGTGTACTTTGTTGCAAGTGGTTTAGTTTTCCTGCAGTGGGGGAATATATATGACTAATTTTGTGTTTTGTTTTGTACCAGAAAGTAGGAATCTGTGGGATAGGTGGGCTTGGAAGTCTTTGTCCAAGTGCTCTTTATCAAAAAAAACTTTGAGCCCAGCCAGGCATTGCTCAGCAGTTGAGCATCGACCTAGGATCAGGAGATCGGGGTTCGATTACCAGTCAGGGGACATGCCCAGATTGTGGGCTGGGCAGCCAATTAATGACTCTCATCATTGATGTTTCTCTCTCTCTCTCTCTCTCCCCCTCCTTTCCTCTCTCTGAAATCAATAAAGATATGTTTAAAAAAAAATTTAAAAAAAAACACACAACTTTGAAAATTACTGTTGCTTTAATGAAGCCATAGGTTGACACTTTTAATTAACACATTTGTTAATTTAATTAATAACATTTAACTCAGTGAAATACAAATATTCAGACAATGTGAGGTATTTTAGCTTGGCAACCCTTTATTCAACAAACGGAATACTTTCTCCTATGAACTTATGTTTTTTTTACCTTCAAACTTTTTCACAATTGTTTCCAAAGGTTTCCATGGTTGTTGTTGGTTTTTTTTTTTAAATATATCTTTATTGATTTCAGAGAGAGAGAGAGAGAGAAACATCAATGATGAGAGAGCCATTGATCGTGCCCACAACCCGGGCATGTTCCCTGACCAGGAATCAAACCCTGATTGCCTGGATCCTAGGTCGATGCTCAACCACTGAGCCACGCCCAGCCAGGCTCCATGGTATTTTTTTAAGGAAAGAAAACCTGCAACTAAAATAAAATAATATTATATGTCAACTGTAATTGAAAAATAAAGAACAAAATTTTTTGCAAAAAAATTTTTTCTTTAAAATCTGGAGGATTTTTTTTTAATGTTTTATTGATTGGATTTTTTTTTTTTTAGAGAGAGAAAGCGGGAGAGAGACAGACAGACAGATAGACATCGATTTGTTGTTCCACCTACATGTGCATTCATTGGTTGACTCTTATATGTGTTCTGACTGGGGATCGAACTGGAAACCTTTTGCATGCTGGGTAGACAATCTAACCAACTAAACTACTGGGCAAGGGCTTTGTTTTGTTTTATAAATATCTCGTTTACAACCTCTGGGCATGCTTTAATTTGAACTGGAAGTTTTTCGAAGCTCTGTTTTCTTATAAATAATTAAAATTCTTAACTGTTCTTTGAAGTGAGAATCTGTAGGCAGCTTTGTTAGCCTATTTTGAGTTATCTCATTTTGAATATTTAGAATTAATTTTTAAAAGAACTTTATCATTTCATATTTTGGTTTGGCCTCTCTCCTACTTAATCAAAATTGGGGAAACTGTTGCCATCTCTACACATATAAATTGAGCACTTACATGTAGTTCCTTCTTTCAGAGAATTTTCCAAATAGAAGAAGAAATTATTTACCCATGTAATTACAAATTATGTTATACTTTCCTAGTGAGTGACCTAACTGCCACTGAAATGCCTTCCTTTTTAATCTTTTGTCTTAGGGCAAAGAAAAAGGTCATTCCTGCACCTAAACCCAAAGTAAAGGTAAGTACTGAACCAAATCTTAAATTAGTCCTAATGATTGTTGAAATGCATTCTTTTCTTTTTTTTTATGCTATTTTATTTTAAAGGCAGGGCAGAACCACTCTAGTAGATTTGGCTTTCACCCAGGTACATGTAGGTTTCTTTTTAGTTTATTTTAAATTGATTTTAGAGGGGAGAGAGGGAGGAGAAGAGAAAGAAAGAAACATCAGTGTGAGAGAGAGACATGGATCAATTGCCTTCGTTATGTGTCCGGACTGGGGATTGAACCTGCCACCTAGGTATGTGCCCTGACCAGGAGTTGAACCCACCACTTTCCCATGCATGGGACAACACTAACCAACTGAGCCACACTGGCCAGGGCAAATTGCATTCTTAAAATGAATAGGATATATGCTATTTAGCATAGATCAACAGGTGGTATCATCATACTCTTAAGATGGGTGTTTTCAAACTTTGTAAAAAATTGTAGAAATGTTATATTTGGGAGAAGAGATGACTGTGTAGCAGTGGGAAATTTGCACATATTTATTACACTGTAAGGCTTAACTTAATACTTAGAAATGCTGGATAAAATATAACAACTGTCCTTTAAAAACGTAGCTGAGTTTGGAAATATTTACGAGACATTCCTAGGGCTGCAAACAAAGAAGCTGCCATAGTCGTAGTATTAGTCTGCTACTGAAGCTTTACTTGCCTTTAGTGGCATTTGCTGATTTTTATCCATTCCCTTAGGGTTTATTTTTAAATTTCTTCTCAGAGCGCAGCAGACTGGGTTTTCTTAGACTAATATAGGTTTAGAATTAGACTGAAATTCTGCATAAACCTGGGACCTCAAAGGATAACTTCCTTAGTAAAAGAAAGGACTAGAAGAGAAATCCACTCACCAGCAGAAAGGTTAGGAAATGTTCATGTCTTGGCCTGGGTTCTGGATTAGGGTAAGCAGGTCCTCCTCCAGCCCTGCCCGGTTTGACCGTGATTAGAGTTTAGGCCTGCCGACTGAAGGGTCCTGGGTTTGATCCCTGGCCCTGGTCAGGGTGTGTGTGGGAGCCAACGAGTTGATGTGTCTCTCTCACATAGAAGTTTCTCTCTCCCCCTTCCACTTTCTCTGAAAAGCAGTGGAAAAAAATCCTCGGGTCAGGATTAAAAAAGAAAAAAAGTCCTAGAGAATTTCCCTTGGTTTAGGAGTTTAACTTACACTGCCTGTGTGATCTGGGGAAACCTCAAGCTGAAAAATAACCTGAAGTTATTAAATTAATATTAACCCAGGGCACCTGGCAAATCAGATTCTCTCTGGAAGAATATTTATACCCTCATCTCAGGCCTCAACAGTTTTCCACGTACATTCTGTGTCAAATCTGAGCTCACAATCTGAAAATACTGAGTATGTGAGGACATGAGTTACTGTGTGTGAGAGTCAGCAGAAACAACCAGCAAAAGCAGATCTCTACAAAGTGACGGATTTACTGGGTTTAGAACATACACTTTTATATTTAAAAAAGTAGAAGAGGGGATAAAAATATCCTGTTAAAATAAACGACGGAGAGTTAAATTTTGATACATCTATTCAAATGTGATTAATTTATCAGACTTTGAAGAATGGAAGTGTTAGGATTCTATAGGGGAGTTACCCTTGTTGTTTGTTTTTTGTGATTAAATTACTTTTTCCTTTTCCCAAAATGGAAAAACTGTACTACTGACCCCCCCCCCCC